GAAATCAATATCGACTGCTAAAAATTGAATGAATCTAATGGTAATATAACTGATTGGATAAGATGAATGAAGAAAATTTTTCAAGTACCTGTAGTAATACAATGATGAGAAAGAAGATATTGTTGTACCGACGAAATTGTTCGGTTAGAAATCGAGGAAAGAATGACCACCAATTGTATTTACAAGTACTGTAACAACTAATGTGATGCAAATGTACGACAATAAAGACGAAAGTAACAACACCAACAAAAAAACTAAATCGAATCTCGACTATTGCTCTTATAGAGTTCTGGAAAATTCATGAAAAACAGCAGGAATATGCTAATGCAGTCATATTCGTGTTAACAGTTTTCGCTCATCCTAAACCGACAATCGTAGCTCATAGTTCAGGATGACATGGAATAAAAAGAACGAAAACCCAAAAATGTGACAGTTCAAAAGTAATCATCCACAAATCGGTAATAAACATTCCCTCGTAAAATGAGTAGATAAAAGATAACAACAAATCTGTCCTCTTAAGAGCCTCGAATAAAACAACGAGAACTACTGTTTTTCATGCAGCATTTTATAGCTTATTTAATTAATCAGCATTTATAATTCAATAAAAGTATGTACTTGTTTGCTATACCCCAATATGTTTTTCAGTGCTTGCAAACTTTTTTTTCCACTCAGCTAACGATACTAGTTCAGAAAATTATGTAATCGTGAATTTCGTTCTGACATTTGATTTAGCGATAGTAGACGTATAAGGCATGCATTCTCATTGGAAATCACGATTTTGTACGGCTCCATAAAGAAAAGTATGGTTTCAAATCAGCATTTGCTTACCGATCAATCGATTCCTAGTTACCTCCCTCTCAAATTCATTGCTTTGGTTTGCAATCTACGTAATACACTTTTCCAGCTATAGGCAATAAGATGTCGTTACCTAATAACATTTGAGCAGAACTTCCCGCTTGGTTCACCACCGAAATGAATATATCTGGAATGTGCAGGTTGGTTGAGATCAGACATTTGGAAGCGTTCATCTGGAGGCTGCCGATCAGACATTTGGATGTGATCATATGGAGGCTGCCGATCACTCGGTCGCATGAGCAACCTTCTTATTCGTGACAACATGACATGCAATAACGACCTGAAAGCAGAATTTGTTTACCATGAAAACCGTTCACTGTTTTTGTGTTAAAAGCAATTCAGAAACTTGTTTTGATTCATGTCTGACTGAATGAGTGACGTTTCAAGAAATAGCACAAGAAGCAGAGATGGGCAATTAGGCGTTCTCGCTATCGCTACTTAGTGAAATAGCGGCATAGCTACTCCGCTAATAGCGAAATAAGTACACCGCTATTTGACTATGTTTCGCTAAGTAGCGGTAGAATGAATATTGTAATCGTGTATACGCGCTATTTCCATTATAATTCTGGGTTTAATTACCCAAGTTTGA